TGTCTTATATTGGTATATATATACTTCATTTCATAAGTACTTACAGAAAAAAAAGCAGAGACTATTGTATTCTTCAACAAAAAAAAAAATGTTCTCAAACTATACAAACTTATCTTTAAGAACAACAGAATTCTAATAAAATAAATACATTAAAATTAAATTAGAAGCCAAACACATTAAAATGTTTTAAATCTTTATTATATAAAGGAGGATCCGCACAAATGAGAGTACGACACGTATTCAAAATTATAACTCACCAAATTGTGACATATATCTAATGACATGTGCTAAAATTTGAAATTAATTTAAAATCATAATGTTAAAAATAGAAACTAACAAAATAATTGTCAGATAACTAAACAAATAGTAAAAAAAACATTTTTTATAGTATAAACTAATTAGAAAAAGGAAATATTTTAATAGTTTAAACTAATTAGAGAATATAAAAATTAATAATCCAAACTAATTAGAAAAAAATAACAAAATAAAGAAAATATAAACCTTTAAAAAAAAAATTAAAGAGAAAACAAAAAATTCAATAAAAAAAAAGACGAATGCTAAAAAAAATTGATATATAGACTTAAAAAAAAAAGTTATAAAGGATATGAAAACACTAATTTAAAAATTTAAGATATGCTCAACCATACCAAAGAAAAAGAAATCTATAAACATATTAATTTTGTGAAAATAGTTATGTAATATAAACTTTTTTACTTATGAAAATATTGGTAGTTTTCAATATTATAAAAGGAAAATTTAATAAAATAAAAATTTATACAGATTAAAAAGATAATAAAATTATTTTAAAACAATAATATTAAAATAGAAAACTAACAAAATAATTGTAAAGTAACTAAACAAATAGTGAAAAAGGGCATTTTTCTTATAGTGTAAACTAATTAGAAAAAAAAAATTATAATAGTTAAAACTAATTAGAGAAGAAAAAAACCTAATAGACCAAACTAATTAGAAAAAAAATAGAATATAAACCTTTTAAAAACAAAAAAAAAAGAAATTTGAGAAATGCCATTTTTTAAAACTTATTTAGTCAATATATTATTTATGTTTGGGTTAATAATATTGTATTAAGATTTTGTTTTGAGGGTTTAGTATTTGTTAGGGGTCAAAATCTT